TAATATTGCGAAGAAAAAAAAACATGCATGTAGGCTTATGTATATAATTCACCAATATTTGGCAATACAAAACACTCACTGTAAGGGCATATATATATATATATATATATACACAGTTTTGCTTGAAACAGTGTTGTGGAGTTACAAGTTACATGTAACAGAATTATGTAATTTAATTACAAAATAAATATGTATATATGTAAAAAAAATATATATATAACTATAATGTTACAGTTAATGAGAAAAATTGTGTAATTAAATTACAGTTATTAAAATGTTAACTATTACGAAGGGGGTTACATCTGAATATTGTCACACACAGAGAGATTTTATTGATTTCTTTCCAAAATTGCACTGACTGCTATAAAATATGATACACCAATGTTTCAGGAGTTTAGGACACAGACTAGGACGTTTATTTGATAACTGTTTTATTTCCTATTTGGGTTTATGTATGCTTTATTTTTTTAATTAACTGTTTTTTTCCAAGGCACTGTTAGATGCCAGTGTTTCCTGTCATAGCTAAGATTTGATTTCAAAAACAGTATCATAGCTATCAAAGTATATCTTATGATTTTAAATCTGTATTTAACCTCAAAACGATCTCAATGTAAAAAGAGGTGCTAAAGTCTGATTTTGTGGTGACTATGCTTTAAATAAATTATTATAATCTTAATTCAAGTGATGAAGGATTTTAAAAGTTTGACAGTAATCAGTGTTGAGTACTACTGTAAAGTTACCCGTCTGCTTTAAATGTTTGAAAACGATTAACAGTTTAGAAAAATGTAAAAGTAATTCAGAAACTTACATTTAGAAAAGTAATCAAAAAGTAATCAAATGTAATCAGTTACATTACTTTGATAAAGTAATTGAAATAGTTCCACTACTTATTACATTTTAAATAGGGTAATTTATAATCTGTAACCTATTTCATTTTCAAAGTAACCTTCCCAACACTTGCTGGAAACACGTAGTTTTGCACAACTCCTTATTTACCTGGTGTGCAGTGCATATTAATTTAATGTAATGTGGATAGTATGTGCAGTATGTGTAGTCCCCGAAGTACGCAGCAGGGCTAGTAACATAGACATTTCATGAACTCTTCCTATACAGCCTCTCTTCAACCTATTGTTGAATGTTACTGCAGAAACCACATTCCTGGATATTTCCTCTTTTCTCATTCTCACTCTCATTCTTTCTCTTTGTTTCACATATGCACTCAAGAATTGAGAAACTCTTATGAGTGACATTCCTCACTGTACACGGTACTATCTCACAGGGAGCAGAGACTATTTCAGATGGCATTCCTGTCCTTAACTTCCTGTGGAGTTTGCTGGTGCATAGAAACTCACAAGAGTGACATTCCTGACCATTCCCCCTCTGACCCATCCAGTCTTCCTCTGAAACCAGGAGATTTCCATCTGTCTTTCAGATGACCCTGCAGGCCACCCAGCAAAGAGCCTCTGCTCAGTCTTTTCAAACACAATATATAAGTAAATCAGCATTCTAATGGAAATGTTCAGATTAATGTGATTAAAAGAGCAAAATGTAATATTAAAGGGGTCATATGATGCTTTTTTAAAGATCATTATTTTGTGTATTTGGTGTAACAGAATATGTTGACATGCTTTATCTTAAAGATTCCTAAATGCATCTACTTCTGGAAGGCCAAATAAAGTGCTTTTGCTTTCACCTATAAACACACAGCGTCTCCCTGACATGGCTGCTTCAACACTAACTGCGGTTACTGAAATCACGCCTTCTTTCTTTGCGTGAACATTTGGGCGGCATTATGCTAATATTTGCACATAGTGACATAGGTATGTGGGGGCGTGTTAGAACGAGCCGTTTTAGGGGGGTGTGGCAGAGTCTTAACTTTGATAAAGAATATCTCTTTGGTTTTGAGACTTTAGTCTTTGCAACTTCAGGGATCTTATCTATGCACAATCAGCTTGTAACACTCCAAAGAGAAAGGAAAACTTGAAATCGCATCATATGACCCCTTTAAAAGATTGTTGCAATTATATCATGCTAGCTTTATAATTTTATTTTTGTCTTTAAGTGCTACACTTATAGCCCCGGTTTCACAGACAGAGCTTAGCTTAGCAAAGCCAGGACTAGGTGTTAGTTAAATTAGGATATTTAAGAAGCTTTTATAAAAATGCCTTAGAAATGAACATTACTGGTGTGCATCTTGAGACACTGACATAATTAATGTCAGTGCAAGTTATTTTCAGTTGAGATTGCTAAAACATGCATTTTAGTCTGGGACTCGCCTTAAGCCTCGTTTGTGAAACTGGGGGACTATGAGTTTGTCGTAATTGTTACATATAATTTACCATCTTTAGATATATCTATTCAAATGTATATATGTATATAAGCCTTGAAAGTTTTCTATACACATCCAGTTGCAGTTGCAACAGGTAAACAAGCAGATTTCCAGTTGCAAATCTACAATTTCAGCAATAATACTGCAATTTGATATTCAATTTTATTCTATCTTAAAGCTTCTATATTAATCTATATATTAAAGCAGCGATTACTGTAAATTATATATAAAAATGTCACTGTGGAAATATACTACTTGTATGCTCAAACATAGGTTTATCTTTCAGAAACAAATGTGATTTATATTTAATGTGTAACTGCGATTGTCTTTGTGAAAGAAAGAGGAAGATCCAAACTGAAAGAGACTGAAAGAGATGCTTCAAACTAATTAAACAATCGTGTAAATCTTGATGGTTCACAGTATACCAGCATGTGTGTAGTGAAAGTACTGGAACATTGTTGGCCAATAGTACAGTAGAAACTGGCATCAGTCCACATTTCGTTTATCACTAAACTCTTACTTCAGGACAAGCTGGGAGTGACAAAATGTTGCAAGACCTCAAGGGATTCCCTCCAACAATGTCAGTACCCTGAGACTGCCTAGAAATGTAATCTATACTGATCAAAGTGATATGCATAACACAGAGGGCTTGGAATGTTCAGCTCTTTGTCTAAATATCCTTTCTAACGCAGTCGACCAAAGTGAAATATAACTTCATACCACAGTTGTCACTGTATTCACTGTAAAAGTGGAGTCAAACATAACACAAGTCACTGTTCTGGTCATAGCCTACACACTGCATTCTATATTCATGTGGGGCTTTAAGAATGACAGTCTAGAATAATGTTTCCATTGTCATTTCTGCAACATTTAAGACCGGGCATGTGGCATCACTGCACTGTTTGGTGAAGTGGGAACACTACTCTTCTGTGTGAAGCTGACTTTGTCCAATATGAAATTGTTTTAGCTACAGCCTCGATTAATTTCGACGTTCGGTCTATCAATAGACATTGACATAGTAGTGGAGGGTTGGGCTCGTTTGTTTAGATCACACAAGAATGCTCCCCACCTTGAAAAGAGAAAAAAGGTTCACCGAAGATAAAGCGACTCGATGTTCGTTCCCAGGGCAACCGCAAGCCCAACCTACCGCCATAGTAGAATTACCTGAATTCTCCTCACGTGACCGATCCCCAGGCCTTCCGACCAATCAGAAGACAGGACAGGTGCGCTCATGGTAGTTTCGGAGGTGGAATCTCAGGTACTCTTGTAAACTGCGACGACACTATAAAGTCTTTCACGTAAATTCAAATTGTGCGTGGCATATTCAGATTCTCCTCCAGGTGATGTTGGGCAAAGGATGAAGTTACGTTTTCTCACAGACTAGGATTTCTATTCAGTCGAGTTATGCGCAAAACTGCGCATTGTAGTCTTCGGATACGCGGGATTGAAAGATGATTTTCACGCACCGTGATTTCTTCTGAGGATTCAGCGGCTCTGTTGTCTCAGCACACCTCTCATTTAGAGGAACCTCGGGCTGCGTTTATCTCGTTCTCATAATTTTTGTGCAGGTGAGTCGCTCAGGCTGATGATCAGGTTCGTTGTTGTGGCATGAATCATCACCTGTAAAAGACTCTCTGGAGCTTATGGCGCTGTAAACCTGTTCTGCACCACAGGACAATATCCTAGGTTGTTTGTCTTGTATGACGTGAAGCTCATTTGTTTTGTACGAATGAAGTTATTCGCAAAAAGGCCTAGGTTTAAAATGGCATTCATACAGAATATGACTTTAATACACATATTAGCCAATATGATAAACGCTCTTACAATTTCTTAATTAAAAGTCAATTTGATATTTTGTATGAGTGTAGAAAAATGTCAGGTGGTGTAACTGAGATTTAAAAACAACAGCAACAACAAAAATGATCAAACATAGTTTTGAATAATATTTTATAATGATTTATTATTATTAGGGTATTTCCTTTAAAAATATGTAAAGCAATTTTGATATCAATGGTGTAATCAATATGCATGAAGCCATTTTGTTGTCATGTGACAAAATCATAAAACAGGGAGGACCCTTTTAGACCACTAGCCTATAAGGTAAAATATTAGCTAAACGAGAAAGAAAATCTGAAAGTTTTTTTTTTTTTTTTTTTTCAGAAAAGTAAAATATATGTAACTCTCATGGCATGGCCTAGCATTAAATCTGCGATTTGGAATGGTATATAGGCTACATTTATAATGTATGAAACCAACACGAATACAAAGTTTAGGCTACATTTCTAAATACTTGACACGTGTTTTAAACCAGATTTTTAAAAGAGTTCTCCATCTTGGATCTTACTTGTCATTGATCCCTATAAGCAAATCCATTTTTATAACATTAATGTAGCCTATCTAGTGAAGGGTGGAGATATAGCCTATTTCATAAAGTAGCCTATATTAAACCTAATCTATTACAGATCTATCTCAGATTACACTGTGTTATTGTTATTCTTGAATAGACATGTTGTGTCAATTGTTGTTTTTACGTCATAGCGTCATAATTAAGCGGGGGTTTATAGATTACAATTAGCCTAAGTGGTAGGTAGCTACACCTAAAAATAGATACAACATAGTTATTCCAGTTTTAATGTTGAAGTAGTAACTTGATCGTATTTATTTCTGTTTAGTTTTAACAATGACTGAGAAAACAGCCCCCTGGTGGAGGTCTTTCGTAGGCAAGAGGAGAAAGGCAGCCAGAGAATCGGCGGCCACACTGGAACAGGACCTCCGTAATCAGGCTTCAGCAGGGTCCACACAGCATCCCTCCGCTGAGCCGGACCAAAGGCTCACTTCACCGACACGCCCAGCGAAAGAAGAGGGCAACTGCTTACCGAGCGACGAAACATATGACGACTCCGCTGTTCAGCCAACATTCAACGAGAGCTCCAATCGCCGCAATCTCACCGTGTCCCGCTCCGGACGCTTCAAAGAGAAACGGAAGACGCGCGTCAGTCTTCCACAGAACCACGGAGACGATGGGAAATCAGCCGACGTCCAGTCAACCCGCTGATTGCCACTGCGGTTTGGTAGAGCACTAAATACGGCACTACCTCCCTTCTGACACTGCTGAACTCAATTTGACTCATGAATGCACTTATATGAAGTTATGAGGATAGCCTTTTGGAGTAAGTTATCCATATTACAGAAGCTTTATTTTCCAAATGCTGGAAATAATGACATTTCCCTGCTGAAAAAACTGTTTCTTAGTCAGGCTAGTCTTTACAAGTTTTAAAGGGGTTTTGGGCACTTTACAATAGCTGGAAGACCAGCTGGCTGACCAGCTGGGCCAGTCTGGATTACTAACTAGACCAGCCTTAATCAGCTAAGACCAGCAAACCATAAGATGTTTTTTTTTTTTTTTTGCCGACAGGGTTATTGGACATTCAGCAGAATAATTTTTGTGAAGGATACAACTTAATTTTTTTTTTTTTTAGAGATTTGTCATACATAATTTGCACTGTTTTGTGGTGTTATTGCAATATTTTACGAAGGACTGTGCATTAGAAGGATTTAGCAGCATATACTTTTAATGGTAATCAGTGTGCTGCAAGCACAGCCTTATCATTACTTGTTTTTAATGCTTGTGCATGCATGCCACATATTTTTAAAGGGGTTAGGGTGGTGGTCCTATCCGTCCAGAATCAGATTATTACTGTATATGCCATGATAGTCATGCATTCGACATGTCAGAAATCAAAGCCATGCATTTTCTTGTGTAGTTTGTTTTATTGAATCCAGGACACCTTGATAGTAGTGATTCATTCTCCCACTGCAAAACAGTAGTGCTGTATTTTCATTAGACAAACCAAAGATTCTATTCTTATAATGTTTAGTTAACAGAGTCAAGAGAAGCAATATAACTAAACTATAAGCTGTTAGTTTAGCAAACAGTGTTTACAGTAGTTATATGAGTATATTATTGAAGACATGAGTTGAACTTGGTTACTATTCAGTCATCCTAAATTAGAATGGAACCTGATAATTCGGTTAAAAAAACTGTGATCAAACTATAAGATTGAATCTGTTATGAGTAAAGCTGGTTGTTAGAGAAATAGGCCTCTGTAGCTTCAGATTCTTTGAGTAGGCAAGTGATGCAGAGACAGATTTGAGATTTGTGTCTATAATGAAGATTTAGACAAGGTTTCAGTGCAATCAGGAAAAAAATTGGAATATACTGTACTCTCGTGCATTAGTTTGCTAAATTTAGCTTGGGAAAGAAGTGTTACTACATCCGATTTTAAATAAACAGATGATTTTCCATCTAAAGCATCCATTTGTGCATTTGCTGAGTTGTTGTTGCCCCTGAATGTGCTTACGTGTATGTGTTTGTTATGGGTGGGGTAAACAGAGAGCAATAGGTCATTATTAGAGTTACAGTATTTAAAACTCCATCAGTGTGTGCTAATGCTCGTCACCTCACCTGAGGCTGTCATCTTTAACCTCATCAACCCTGTATCACAACATTCCTTACTCTTAGAAGACTCAGAAGTTTCTCAGAGAGCCAGAATGACTGCGCTGTCTTTCCCTAATAGTGTGGAAAATATTAGATCATTTGCATGGACTTACAAACCAGAGATTATACAATCAAGGCTTGTAGAGTCATGACTGCACTGTTCACATTGAATCAAATGCATTTTATCATTGTTGTTGTTTGACACAATTGATAGTTTTTAGCAGTAGCTGATTTTATTTTCACTCAATTAAATATTCAGATACTATCTTGACCCCATTTCTGATTAAATCTGGTTTGGAGGTCATCTTTAATTAGCCATGCCTCTCTACTCTGCACACACACAAACGAAGCGTTATCAAAAACTACCGCTAGAGAGCGATCTGGTCGCGTGCAGCAAAGAGTACAGCCACCTGAAGCACAAAAAACTAGATATGATGTTAAACAATTAATAAAAGCCTTAGCGTTTAGTTTTATTTTAATTACAGACATTTTACATACTTTCTACATGCATTTTAATAAACACTCTCGGGTGTGTGAATAATATAAAATATGAAATAGCCAGGCTCATTCATGGTCAGGACAGACTCCCACCGCGCGCCGCCTGAGATGGTCCTCACTGCAGAACACAAGATCCAGGGGGCGAGGTTGGATCCAGATCCAACTACTCCCACCTTACATATACCTAAACCTACCCGTCTCCACCCCCTGATCCCTAAACCCACCCATCTCCACCCCTAAACCTATCAATCTCCACCCCCTAGATGTTGATCCAACCCCGCCCCCTGGATCTTTGTTCTGCAATGAGGTGTTACTGCGCCGCCTGCTGTGCTGTCGCTTCATTCTAGACGCAACAGACGGACCACAGGGTGCGCGTACTGTAGTCCGGTTCAGTTCACGCATAAATTCCAAAGAAGCACAGCATTTGGACAGTGTGTCACCATTTCTAGTGGATTGTTTTTTACCAAGTGGAGAGGACATATTTCTACAGCTTTCTTTTCAAGTGTTTTTAAATGACATTTTTATGTGTCACATACTTCACGGAAAATTAGACGCGAATAGTCATCGTGAAACCCTCAGCGTCTTCCTAATTATAACACGAGCTCGCGGTCAGTAACTGTATCTCGTGGGTCAAAGGCGCGCGCCATGCAGACCCAGCCTCGCGCCCCGACTGGCCTCTGACAACTTCCCTGCGTCCCCCGGAGGAGAAGAAAAACGCACGAAAATTCATCTTTCCAAGGTAAGGTAGCCTTTGAAAACTACATTACAGTAAACAAGGCTTTTATAATACCATTGAACCACTACCGTTATGTTTAACATATGTCACTGGTTTGTGTTCTCAGCTGGACTCCGTTGGTGAGTGGCATATTATTGACTCACAACAGCACTGACAGTAACCAGACTTAAATGTGAACAGTCTGGTCATATTTCACAACTTTTCGAATGACACAGTTTAGTATCTGAATTTTTAATGGTTGGAGTGTTGTACGTTGAACTTTAAAGGGACAGTTCACCCAATAGGCTAATGACAATTCTGTCGTCGTTTACTCACGCTTGTGTCGGTCCAAACCTGATACATGACTTTCTTTCTTGCGTGGAACATAAAAGAAGATATTTGAACAGCAGCCGAACAGTTTTGTTGACCAATGATGTTCAGTTGTACATAAAAATATTTTCTCAAAACCTTTTCTCAAAATATCTTCTTTTATGGTCCACAGAAGGAAGAAATTCATACAGGTTTGTAAAGAAACGAGGGTGAATAAGTGATGACAGAATTTAAATTTTTGGGTCATCTATCCCTTTAAGTATACAAACCTATTTATTTTCATATGAATTATTCATTTAAATAATAATTTAATAATTTTAACTCTCTCACACTGCACTTAACATAGCAGGTTATTAAATCTAATGTTATAAAATTCACGTGAAATGAATGGAATATATATATATATATATATATATATATATATATAAAGATATATTCTTTAAACAGAATACAAATCATTCATACGTGTTATGATTATCATCAGCCAGATATTATACAGCATGTCTCTACAGGTGGATAAAAATGTTTACACATGGGTGGACCAGCACAACATTGTGTGTCAACATCTCCATGGGAAAGCTGTTAATGGGACTCTAGGGAAAAACAGAGAGTTGTTAAGAGCTATGCAGCTGGATGAAATATAACCCACAAGATCTTGGACAGTCATATCATGAAAGAGGCCAAAGGATGAATAGTTGAATTCTTAATGTCACTCTTGAACAATGTTGGGATTTTATTTATTTAATCATCTACAAATGTAAATTTCCTAATGCTTGAACTTGTCCGTTTGTCCTTTTCCTCCATGGAGCAATAACACAATGTTTCTCTATTTGGCAAGAATAAACATTCCTAATAATTAACATATTAACTAAATTCCTTCTACATTTCTCAGCTGTATTTAGCGGGTTTCTCTTCCTCACACAATAGCTCTGATTGGCTGCTGTGCTGGGCTTGCCAGAAGTTGAGCAGCTCTACTTCTCAAACAACAGACTCCATTGTTATCTCCAGAGCCCTCCGGCTCTTGATAAGGTTGCCACTTTACTCTGATCTGAGATCATTTGTATGCCTGTTCCTTTTAAAAGTCAAGTTCAGGGGTTTGTATGTTAGAGATGACCCTAGTTCAGAGTTAAATGCAGTTTCTTCAAAAGATGATCTTTGGAACCTCTCACTGGCCATTGTGGAAGCAGGAGATTGGTTTTCCTAAAACAGAAGGGAGGGTTCCTGTTGGGTGCATCTTGTGATGGACAAGCTTCCTGCCAAGAGGAACATGTACTGTAGACTTGTGGAGAGAGAGAGGGGTGTGGGGAGATCGCTTTGTCATGTTGAAACCACAGTGAAGTGCTGAAAAGTTCTTGGTGTTCTTTAACACTTTTGTTTAGCTGGAGCTCAAAATGTAAGTCAGCATTTACAAAATACATTTACAACTAGTTTTTTAGTTTTTGTATGTTATAAATAAAACCTGAATTTAGAAATGTAAATCAAGTCTATCTAAACATTATGAGTGGGCTTATTAATTTAATTTAATATAATTTAATTTTATATTTATTAATGCAAATACCTATAATTAAACTATTAATTTAGTTTAATTATATTATACATTTTAAATATCTCTTATCTTTATTAATATCTCTTATCTCTTAAATTTGTTTAATTATAATAATTTAAATATCTGCCTGAGAGGTCAAATAGAGAGGTCAAATAGTACAATACAGAGGGGCAAGTGTCCCACTGTCTGTGTTTTAAAGGGGTCATATGATGCGATTTCAATTTTTCCATTCTCTTTGAAGTGTTACAAGCTCTTGGTGCATAAAGAAGATCTGTAAAGTTGCAAAGACTAAAGTCTCAAATCCAAAGAGATATTCTTTATAAAAGTTAAGAGTCAACCACGACTACCTAAAACGGCTCGTTCTAACACGCCCCCACATATCTACGTCACGATGTGGGAAGATTTTCATAACACCGCCCAAATGTTCATGCAAAGAAAGAATGCGTAACTTTTTATTCTCGCTGTAGTATTGCTGCCGCCATGTCGTGAAGACGCTGTGTTTCGTTGTGAAAGTGAAACTACTTTGTTTGGCCTTCCAAAAGAGGACGATATCCGCTTCGTCATGCCTAGAGCTGATCCGTGCTGGTCGCTGAGGAAATACATCAACTTCGTGCTGTGGATCGCCGGATCGGCTTTCACCGTGGACGAAGCGGAGTCCAGCCCGGGGTCGTCACATGTGGTTGCCGCAAGCCCTCCGGCCGCTCCTTTGTCGAATCATAAACACATTTCATTACACCAAATACACCAAATAATGTTCTTTTTAGCAACATCATATGACCCCTTTAATATGTGACTGTTTTTTCAGGTTCCTGAGCAATGCCTGTCCCTCCTCCTCCACCTCCCCCAGCTCCACCACCCCCACCTCCACCTCCTGCAGCTCATGCACCTCCTGCACAAGTGAGATCCATGCACACACACATTCACAGATAGCTATTATTGTAATATAGTTCATCAGAATGTGTGTATAATGGCTCTTTTTCCATATGTCTGTTGCTTTCTCTCTCTGTCTATTTCTCTTTGTTTCCGTCACGCAGTTCCTCCTGGCAACCACCTGGCTAGATGTGCATTATTAATTAGAGATAAAATTACACTCAGGGGCATATACAGCACAGGTGTCACATGTTCAGATTTGGCTTTCTGTTTGAATGCATGTGCACACAAATGACATCTTTGAACACATTTAAAACCAGCATTAAAGGGATAGTTTACCCTGTAATGAACATTATGAATCATTTACTCACCATTTTAAACCTGTATGACTTTTTTTGTCTTCTTTAAAACATAAAACAAAGTATTTAAAATATGTCCATACCATAAAATTGTTGTCTTGGACTCGATGACTTTCATTATATGGACAAAAACAGTTGAAACATTCTTCAAGATAACTTTTCAACTCTTTATGAATCTTGTAGTTTTCTAAATCACACGTTATGCCAGACTTTAGACTTAATGAAGTAATTTTATAATTCAGTACCTAATTAGATTAGACCATTTTTTTGTCCAGTTTGGGTTTTGTTTTGGTATATCATAGATACTGCAATAAAAACCATACCAGAGAAAACTAATGGCACAGTGAAACTCATTAGAACTGCATAAAATTAAGAAAGTTGCAATTTTTCACTCTTTATTTTAGTCACGGACAGACCCTTCTAAAATACAGCGTTCTGAGGGTGGAGGTCGCAGTGCGCTCCTGTCTGACATTCAGAAGGGGACGAGGCTGAAAAAGGTCACACAGGTCAATGACCGAAGCACACCATTCCTTGACAGTAAGTCAAAATCAAATTTATTCACATAAACTCAATTCTTTAACACTGGTCAGGTGAAATGAGTCACCTGGCAACAATCCATCTGTTTGCAAGCATGGGAAATATGAATAATAAAATGATACTATTTCAGGTTCTATTCCTGATTATCTGATTTAGCAGTCCAAAATTCATTTCTGCTGTATGATGGCAACACCGGAATATTGTTTATTAATGTAACCAGAGCTACCAGCATTGCATTTTCAACGATTGTTTATTGAAAATGAGTGTTGTGTCAGCATGAGAGCCTGTATTAAATTACTCTCTCGTGAAAATGAAACTGAAGGAGTTTGAGAAACAGTACAAAAGAATAACTATGAGGAGAAAACCAGGCATCAGAAAAAGTCTGAATGGCTGATAGGTTTTAAGGACTTATCAGTGGCAGAGCTATATTTAAACTCGAGGTCCATAGCCATTGGGTTCTCATACTTCAAAGCACTCATGTGCACACAAAGACACATAGGCTTTCTATCTGTATATGGAAATGCACTGCGGCAGATAAAGGGCCAAGACCTCAGGAAGTGCTGGAGTGAGGATCACACAGAAAGTGGGGGTGACAATGCTTCTCATCTTGCTCTTTATTACAAAGGACAGCAGTATTCTCTGTGCTCAGGACATGCCATGTTCATTAAAAAGTCATTGGGCCTCATTTATCAATCTAACGTAGAAACAAGCACAGATCCGTGCGCACAAATCAACTTACGACAGAGTTCACGTGTGATTCATGAAACATTCGTATGCCGCCAATCTCATCGTACGAATGATCGCATGTTGATAAATGTGGCGGCAGAAAACAATCGTCATTTGCATATCACGCCCCTAAAAACACAGGAACAATAATGAAAAATATGTATTTATAAAATTATATATTCAACTATAAAATAAATCTAATTAGGCTATGTCATTCATTATAAACAGCATACAAATATAAAGCAAAACTGAAACAGCATTGGGCTCACGAGCCTGTCTCATACCACAAGAATCCAAATGTTTTCATTTTTGCCATATTTGTAACATTTGTTTGCATAACTATTATTTATTATGTAGCCTAAACATGGCTTTATACTTCACTCATGTTCTAATATCCGTGTAAAATCCTTCACATGCGCAAAAAATGTTTGTTTGGGCACTGCATGCTGATTTTACAGCGGACCTTTTAAAATAAACAGTGTAACTTTTATGTTTGGTTGACTGCATTTTAGTTTGATGGT